TATATATATATATATATATAAAACTGTGACCTTTCTTTCACCTAGATGTAGCCACACACCAGTATGTTGCTTATTTTTGTATTTTTATCTATACTGGTAGTCTTATTGAGTCACAAGGACTCATTTTCAAGAGAGACCTGATTTTGCAGCAGATGGTGGGGGTTAAGGGCCTTGCTCAAGGGCCCAGAGGGGCAAATGAGGGTGGGGGCAGGTGTGGGTGTTTCACCTTCCCAGCCACATTTTGTTGGTCATGTTGTCCGTCTGGGGAGTCGAACCGGTGACCTTCTGATCAAAGGCCGACCTTCTTACCTCTGTGCCACCACTTTCCATACATATATGGTGGCAGCCATCTTGGATTTTTATGACAACCCGGTTTTCAAAAGGAATCTTTCTTATGCCTAAATGCAGCCAAACACCAAAATGGAATTTAATTCCTCGTCTTTCAAGTTATGCTCACATGTATGGATGTGCATAGAGTATTTCCAGTTCCCCTTCTTCATGCTGCGACAGGAGACAATAAACCCATAGAAACTGTACATACTCTGCTCACTTAGCTGGCTGCTTTGTCTATCGGCATGGAGTGAAACTCAGCACGTCACCTGTTTGATGCCAGACAGTCAAACCTCCACTGAGACTTTTATTCAAGTTGGACCAAAGACAGTTAAATGAACTCCTCGTTATGTTTAAGAGACTCTTTCACTTCAAGTTAAAGAAAAGAAGCTGCTTCATTCTCCAGGAACAGCTAATATGGCTTTAAATAAAAAAATTAAAATATATCCCTTAATAAATAATGTGTTGTCATTAAATTTGAAAATTTAAACATTTGATTAATGTTTAAATTGGGAGCACAATGGCTCAGTGGTTAGCACTGTTGCCCCACAGCAAGAAGGTCATGGGTTCAATCCCCAGTTGGACCCGGGGTCTTTCTGTGTGGAGTTTGCATGTTCTTCTCGTGCTTCTCTGGGTACTCCAGTTTCCTCCCACAGAACAAAAACATGCATGTTAGGCTGCCTTCAGGCCCAGGCCTCCCTTGCCAAAAGGTCTGTGATCTCAATGGGATTTGCCTGGTTAAATAAAGGTTAATTAAAATAATAAATAAAATAATAGCACCGACTGACTGAAAACTACAGTGAATATTTTAGTTTTATATAATTTATCAACGTGTCTGGTCAAGCTGCAGCCCCCACGACCTGACTTCAGAACAAGTGCAAGATGATGGATGTGTTAGTTTAAAATTTTACAGCAGTGAATATAATTATGATAATCAATAAGCAACATGTTTGTTCTCTGTTACCATGGAGATCCAACCAGGCTCAAAGAAATTATCTTTTTTGACATTAAAAACGTAGATTTTCAGCTCAACAGCAGCTAAACTGTTGACCTCACTTCATAATCCAGACATCTGGTAATCCACTGACCAGGAAGCAGAACCTTGTAACTCCTGAACTACTTTTTAAAGAAGCCTGATATTTATGGATACTTTCCACCAATTTAAAAGTAATATTTATATATTCCTATACATCTGTGAGTAAAAACCGTCTCACTGCAGCCACAAGAATAAAGTGATGAAAATCCATTAAACAGATCTAGTATTTTGTGCCCTGCAGGAGAGAAATCTTCCAGCTGGGAAAAATTACATACAACCAAATACCTTTTACTGAAAGTGAATATTTTAAGCAATACTTTTTACTTTTACTAGATTTTTATTCAAGGAACTCTATTTGTCTTTGTGCAAAACTTTAACTGAGTAACTACCTTAACTTGACCATGTTATCTCAGTACTCTTTCTCTTTGCTTTCAAAATATAATTTATTCAACTGTTGAGTTCGTCAAGAACATTCCACATGTAAATAATATTACCTGTAACAATCTTTTGCATTGCATGGTTGTAAGGGAAATATTTTTGATTAATGCAGGACTGAGAGGACTCTGATTTATATTCTGCTTGTGTGGCTTTTACAGACCAAACATGACACGTTTATTTTTAACAAATAAAACATTTCTTTATGGCCAGTCACAGCATTTGCATTTATCATTGAAAACAAGATGAGTTGGGCATTTCTGTACGAATGTGTTTTCCTGGGAACAGTGGTAGAACGAGGTGCTATCCTTCTCATTACTGTAGAGTCCATCAGCCTTTCCGGAGCAGAACCCACTTCCAGAAGCAGCAGTTGTGGTGGTTCTGCCAGAGGTCGTGCTGGTACCAGTTGTAGGAGTAGCTGGGCTGGGGCCGCTTGTGGTGGAGGCCGATGGTGGAGGTGTGGTAACAGGAGGAGGAGGTGGAAAATCTAGGAAATAGATTTGGTACAATTAAATACAAAACACATAAATAGGATTTTACACAAGTGGAGATGATGTCATTGATGAAAAGTGTTTACCTGAATCAAGAAGAGAGCGCAGATAACCGATGAGGGGGTAGTTCCCTTGACCACAGAAGTGTCCACCAAAATCATCCAAATCCAGAGACCAGATAAATGCTCCTCCAAATTTGTTATCTTTCACGTATTGTGCCTACAAAACATCAGTGTGACATTTTGAATTAGATTTTATAATGTTTGTGGTACAATTTAAACATGAAAAACCTGCACTGAGATATTTTGCAATAAAAGGACATATTTTGTTTTTCTACAACAATGAACATTTCCTGCACTCTTGATGTTCTTGCTTTTATTGCATCATCCCAACATATGTTTGTCTCTTTAATTCATTTTACATGCCTACTTTATAGTGTTTTGGGTTGTGAAAACTGAAGCCCATCCCAGCAGTTATGAGTTTGTTTAATGGGCAGTTCCATCCTGATAATTCAGGACACGTTCATCTTGAGAGTCAGTGCCAGGATCAACACAAGGGCTAACAACCATGCACTCCTATGGTCAATTTAAAATCACTGATTAACTTTAAATGCATTGTTTGTAACTGTTGGACGAGCCAAGGTACCAGGAGAAACACCATGTGGGCACAAAACATTTAACGCTAACCAAGCTGTACAGTTCAGCTGAGATTCAAACTCAAGACCTTTTCTGTGAGCTCTGTGCTGACCACCAAAACAACACTGGGAAAGTTGGGGGTTCAATTCCACCAGCAGTCAGCTGGTCAGTTGAAGTGTCCCTGGTCAAGACACTGAACCCCTCATTGCCTCCGATGTGTGTCCCATCAGTGTATGAATTAGACTTTGTCGAGATCTAGTAGAGTGCTGTATAAATGGGTAAATGTTGTAAAGAGCTTTGAGTGTCTTGATAAGATAGAAAGTGCTATATAAGTACAACAATGTCCATGCTCAATAATCCAGGTATACAATCCAACAATTTTCAGTCAGGTCATCTGGACAGTTTCTTTTTTTTTGTGCTGAAACGTTTCACCTTCCATCCAGAAGGCTTCATCAGTCAAGGAAACACAGAACAGAATCAGTTTTGTGTTATATGTGCTATATAAGTACAGTCCATTTACCATTTATTTTCTTAGATAATTTTGTTTGAGGTATTTTAGAGATGTAAGCAACATAATATTGTGTATTAACCTTTATTTAACCAGGGCAAATCCCGGTGAGATCACAAATCTCTTTTGCAAGGGAGGTCTGGGCCTGAAGCAGCCTAACATGCACATTTCTTTACTGTGGGAGGAAACAGGACTACTGGGAGAAAACCCACACAAACACAGTAGAACATGCAAACTCCATACTGGAAAATATTATGTCCAAAAGCAAGGATTGAACCCAGAAGCTTCATACTGTGAGGCAACAGTGCTAACCACTAATCCATTGTGCTGCTAAAGTTTAGTAGTGTTTAATTTTAAGAATCGATTAAAAGCAATAAAATATAAAAATAAAAAAACGGAAATCTTTTCACAAAACAAATAAAACCACAACAATAAAAAGTAAAATAATTTTCCTTGCTCCTGGCTCCTCACACATTGATCTAGGATTTTTTTAAAATTGTCTTCTGACTCACAAATTGTCAAAATACAGCTTTTCTCTCTTTGACATTTTACATTTTGTGCTTTACAAATTTTTAATTTTAAAAGTCTTTGTGAAAACTGTATGTCTTAGACATCTGTCTATCCATATATAGATTTAACCATACTTAAAAAACAAACAAACAGGTTAATAATTAAAGCAATAATATTTGTTTATGATAAAATGATCCCATAGAAAATAACAAGATCACATCTTATTTAAAAATGTTGCCAGGTCTGAGACAATATTTGCCATTTAGGAATTCACACTTTGTAACAAGAGTGCCATCTTCTGCTCGGTTTATATTATTAAAAAACTGCATTTGTTCAAGAAGCTTCATCACCATCAGCTTCATCCAGGGTCTGTTCTCTTTCAAATGACATTCAGAGGAAACTGGCAACTAAAGACCATGATTTGTAATTGTTTTCTTATATCTAATATAGCTTTAAACATTGATGTAAAAAATAAAATAATATAGATCACCTTGATTTCATAGCTCTGCTTGTTGTCGAAGCCCACCCACTCGTTGCCTTTGACTGCATACGGCACCTTTTGTTCATCAATCCAGTGTGTAGTGGCTCCATCGAGGAACGTGCAGACCTGAATTTACGAGAGGAGATTCTACTTGAACGTTCATCATCATGCTTTGCAACCATTGTAACATGGATCCGTCTCACAGTCTAAATCCTTTGGTTTATCTTGGTGACGTTATTAACTTAAAACATTTTACTTCAAGTTTTCTGACCTCATAGTAGGACCAAAACCCAGCCTCTCGGGTATAGGGCCCGGCAGAGGCTGGTCCACTAGCTGGTGCTCCAAGACCTTGGTCAGCTGATGCTGTGCGAAACGTGCGTCCGTAAGTGGGAAAACCAACCAAGAGTTTTTCAGCAGGAGCTCCTTGATCTCTCCAATACTTCATGGCAAAGTCCTGGATCACACATAAAAAGATAATGAATTAAAAACAAATATTTGTTTCATCTTTATCCAGTATAAAGTTACAGTTTTCCTTACAATATTGAAGTATATGTGTTCGCCTTGATCAGAAGCGCTGCCGAACAGAGGGCTGTTGTGGCCAGTGTTTGGATCCCAGGCTCCGTGGAGGTCATAGGTCATGATATTTAAAAAGTCTAGTAACCTGTTAAGATGTACAGAGGAAATAAACAAACGCTTGTCAGTAAATATTCCTTAACCTTAACCACTGTTTTTGTTGTTTCTGTCGGGATTCAAATTTAACATAAAAAAAATCCTCACATAAGTGATTTGTCACTTTATTTCTCTGAACACTGTGTTTTAAACAATGTTAGGTGAGAACAGGAACGACAGGAACTCACTTGGACACGTCAGCGATCTCATAACCATTGTCAATGTTCCCCTTCCCTCCTGCCACCGCAGCTGTGAGCAGCAGCCGTGGCCTCTTGGTCTCAGCTGCCTCTTTTTCAAAAGCCGCAAGCAATTCCTGATTGAACGAGGAAAATATTCAGGGTCACTGTTGTTCATGTAGTTCAGTTCAAAAAGAACAGCCACGGGTTTAATCTTTACTGATCTTTGTTAAATCCTCAACCGTTTCATTACAGGGAGAATAAGTCCAACTCTGAATAAAGTGCACTTTTTTTTGTGTCTTTTTTAATTTTTTGGGTAACACTTTACAATAAGGTACACAAAATTTGCTTAACTACTAGGGAATGCCTAAGGAACAAATCAGGAGTCAATGGGTAGTTAACCAGTACATTCTGGGGAACACACATTCAAGCCTTATTAAAGGACTACTGGTTAGTTACCTTGTAAATGAAGAGGAACTAATGAACTAATGAAGAACTAATGGGTAGTTACTAAGGAAACCAAAGAGGAACGAGTCAGGAGCTAATGGGTAGTTAACCTGTACTTACTGGGAAACACACAGCTAAGCCTTATTAGGGTACTACTGGTTTGTTACCACAGAAACAGAGGAGACATTCTCTATGTGGGTTCTAAATAAACTCTGCACCAGTGAGGTCACAGCTCAAAACTGTCAAAACCCTTTTTCCTAGTGATTACTGATTTTATTACCCATTAGCTCCTGATTCGTTCCTCTTTAGTTTTCTTGGTAACTACCCATTAGTTCTTGATTAGTTTTGCTTCATTTACAAGGTAACTAACAAGTAGTCCCTTAATAAGGCTTGGCTGTGTGTTCCCCAGTAAGTACTGGTTAACTACCCATTAGCTCCTGATTCGTTTCTCTTTGGTTTCCATGTTAAGTACCCATTAGTTCCTGATTAGTTCCTCTTCATTTCACAGGTAACTAACCAGTAGTTCCCTAATAAGACTAGGCTGTGTGTTCCCCAGTAAGTACTAGTTAACTACCTCCTGATTTGTTCCTGATTCGTTCCTGAAGCATTCTCTAGTAGTTAGTCAAATTTTATGTACCTTATTGTAAAATGTTACCATTTTTTTTTTGGTCAGAAAAAAAAAAAGTTGCAGTATCAATCTAATCTATTTTTTCTTACATAACTTTAAACGTGACCAAATACTGGAACTTTAAAAGTAAAACTGTTTGACTGATGAAGCAACTGATGAGACTGAACAGCTTGCAGTTCTTAACGCAGATGCCTAATTGGGTAAATGTTTAACTGACCTGGAGGAGCACCGTGAACCTCTTCTTGTCTTCTAACGGACTTCCTCTTGCTCCAGGGTACTCCCAGTCCAGGTCCAGTCCATCAAAGCCATGCTGTCTCAGAAATTTGATGGAAGACTGGATGAACACCTGGCGGTTGGTGGGAGATGAAGCCATGATGGTAAATCTGTGAACATTTAAATAAGTCATTGGCTGCAGAAAGTTTTTTTTTTTTATTGTTTTAATGAAATTTGGTCCAACAAACTCATGTCAGCAGCATGTTTTATTTAGATTTTAGACTCACTGGGTTGTTCCAAAGTTCCACCCACCAACAGCCAACAGAGTCTTTAGCTGAGGGTTTCTGTGATGGAGACATAAACAATATAATATAAGTCTAGTTTTAATTTGTCCTATGCACAAGAGGAAGTCATTTTGGTTCCATCACCAGGCCAGAGAGTAACATGTGAGAAACTTTTTTTTTTGTAGTTTTAAGAAAACAACAAAAACAAAGTGAAACAGATTTTCATCCAGAAACAACTCACCTGATTTTTAGTGCATTAAAGGATTTATAAAGAACCTCATCATTCCACTCAAACGTTATCAGCTCATTAGAAGAGCTAATTATTGAGAAGGCATAGATAAGATGTGTGCAGAGGTTTGGATCCACGTTTTCAGGAACATATTTCCCTACGCCTGGTCGGTACTGGGACCAGTTGGTAAAGTAGCACACCAGCTTGGTCGAGGAAACTTCAGGAAAAATAAAAATAATTACAGTATTAGGTTTATGCTGTACGGTTTTTGTGATTCAGATCCAAATGTGAATGAAAGGGTTCATTCTTACCAGTTTGAAGACATATCAGAAGAGACAGTCCTGAAAAACAGTTTCGTTATTAATAATTTTCATCAAGCCTTTGAACAAATCACTACCAACAATTAACCTACCGGCTAAGACCGTCAGACGAACCATGTTGGTGTGTTGCAATTTTCTTTTACCTCAAAGCAATCTGAAAGAGTAACAACAGTGTATTACCATGCAGAGCAATATGCAGCATGCATTTCTCTAAAATACACTGCTAAAGCTTCAGCATCTTGATGACTGCGGTACCTTTCTCAGGTGGTCTGCTGTCAGTCTGGCTGCTCCAACCAAGATTCTCTTTTATAGACGAGTCAGGGCAAAGGCTGCACTCCTGGGATTTTACTGAATGCCTCAGAACAGGATCATTTTTTGCTATCGGTTTGGCCACATTTCACTGTGATGAGCTAATGTTTCCTGTTTTTATTGCCTGATAACTGAGGGTCACAGGACGAGGTTGTGCAAATTTGTCATTGTTAACCCTTTCAGAACAGCCAACTCGATGGTGGAGATAAGAGGAGTTGATAAAATAGTACGGTAATGTAGGTTTCCATGAGAATGTCATGGTACACAACCAACAACACATATCTCAGGTGACCTTTAGAACTGTACGTATGGCGTAACGGCTTTTATCTTTTTATCTAGAGGTTTTTACAGTGAAGAGGCAATGATAAGCATCCATCCATCCATTAATCAATCTATCCATTCGTCTACCCAATCCATTCATTCATCCATCCACTTCTGTCTCTTCTTAGAACAAGATGGTTTTAGTTTAAATCTATGGCTGATAAAGTGACTGGCAATATTTACAATAAACAATTCAATATCCTTAATTTTGAATTACTTAGATGCAGATGAAGGTGGCACATCTCTGGTCTCTGGCATGTATGATGCGCATCTTCTCAGATTTATAGTGATGCGATGAGTTAAAAATGCACGAGCAGGAAAAAACACTTGACATGATACGATTCAGTCCCTAATTCCAATAAAGTGCGATTCAGTATGTTAATTCCTTAGAAGGACATATGAAACAATACCGGTACTTTACAACAAAGCAAAGACATGATGCTTTATCATTTACTGTGACTAATTACTGTATTTATAACCAGGCCTTGCCCTAAGGTATAATAAACTGTTTAGCTTTGTTGTAAGAACATATTTTTTGCTAAATGTAGGTTATTATGTACTGAAGACTTGAACCCTGCTATCAACATTACAAGTTGGTGCCAGTATGTTTTTATTAGTGTTTGAAGCATATAAAACTCCACCTCTGTACATTTATTGTAAATCTACACACAATGTAATGACACAAAGCTGGGAAATTAGCAACAATTTCAAATATCTGACCATGAAACGTATGAAACTTCAAAATGAAAAATATGTAGGAACACTGATAATTCAATTATCCCAAGCACAGTAAGAGATTTATGGAAGGATGGCTGAAAAATGAAATAGTTCATGTGCTGTCAAGTTTAGAATGTAATGTAATGCGCTTTTCTGTAGGATAATGTGGTGCAAGTATTAATTAATTTTTTTCTGGATGCCAAGCTTTTCATTACTATTTGTTATCCTGTAGTCAGAACTATGCGATAATAAAAACTGGATTTCATGTAAAAGATGGCATCCATCCATTTCCCGACAGATTTTTCCTTCTTGGGTTGTGAGGAGCTGGTGCTTACCTCTAGCAGTCACCATACGATGTGATCGACAGTGTATGGGACTCTCTTTTGCCCTCTCTTTAAGGGTAGAAGTCAGACTGATGTTAACAGTTAGTATAGACCAATATCTTTTCTATCTTGTGTCTCAAAGGTTTTTGCAAAAAACTGGTGAATAATCAGCTAACACAATATTTGAAGGTTTTTAATATTTTGTCCAACACCCAATCTGGCTTTCGTTCAGGGCATGGTTGTGGCTGAGTGGTTAGAGCAGTCGTCCTCCAATGCAAGAGTTGGGAGTTCGAATCCACCAGCAGTCACATTTCGAAGTGTCCCTGGGCAAGACACTGAACCCCTCATGGCCTCCGATGTGTGTCTCATCAGTGTATGAATGTGATCTCAAAGCACTGATTAGTCTCTTTAGAATGATTTGTTCAATTAGCTTTGTAGAGATCTAGTAGAGTGCTGTATGAATGGGTAAATGAGGACACAGATTGTAGTGTAAAGCGCTTTGAGTATCTGGATAAGATAGAAAAATGCTATATAAGTGCAGTCCATTTACCATTTACCATTACGGCCGCTCTGAAAGTTCTCAGTTATATAACATCTGCATTGGACTCCAAACAGTATCGTGTAGCAATATCCATTGATTTAGCAAAAGCTTTTGACTCAGTTGATCATTCCATCATAGCCACTTCACCATATTAGAATTTTGGGACAGCCACAAACATGGTTCCATAATTATCTTTTGAATAGGTCACAGCGAGTGAAGGTTGACTCTCATACGTCACAGTTTCTTCCTGTTATGTCAGGTGTACCCCAAGGCTCCATTCGTGGTCCAAATATTTTCTTCATTTACAAATTATATATCACATTCTGTTAGTGAGGCCTCCATCCATTAACATATGCCAATGACCCTGTTCTACTGTATATGCTTTTGGTTCTACTCCAGATGAGGTTGTGAAGTCATTTGACATTTCAAGTTTTCTTGAAATCCAGCAGGCCTTTTCTGACTTAAATTTATCCTTAAATGCCAAGAAAACTAAATTTATGTGGTTTGGTCACGGAGGAGGAACCATACCCACCTCGGTGGATTTCACCACTGTAAACGGTGATATCAGAGATAACAGTTAATAAATATTTGGGAATTTGGATTGATGGTACTCTGTCCTTTTCACGTCATGCTAATGTTTTGCAATCTAAGGTTAAAGCGAAACTTGGTTATCTATATAGAAATCAATCTTTGTTTACACTGGCTGCAAAATACACTATTGTTGGAAAAAAAAACATTCTACCTCTGTTGGAATACTAAGACATATTTTACAGACATGCTTGTAAGCGTGTCCTTGATAAGCTGGACACAATTTATCACTCTGTTATACTGTATACTTTGTTATAAATGCACCTTATAGAACACATCATTGTCACCTCTTTTGTTAAATGTCCTTCTCTACATACTCTGTGAAATTCATTGGTTTACCCTCATTTATAAGACATTGCTGGGTTTTTCATCTCCATATTTAACTAATCTATTGCAAATAGCACCAATTTCGAAGTGTAAGACCCAATCCTCTCTGTATTTGTGGTTAACAACTCTAAAGACCAAGTCTTGCTGTGTCTCTGTGGCCTTTAGCTCTGCTGCTCCATCTGAAATCTGCTTAAAAACCTTTGGGTCTGACCTCACCTGTCTCAATCTCTAGTTTTAAAAATCGTTTAAAAGCTGTGTAACTTAACTATATATACTTGCAAATGTTTTCATGCTTCGTAATGTTGTCGTTTAACTTTGACATTGAACTGTTGTCAACGTAGATTATGATTTCCTTGTTTGTTATTGACTTCTATATTTTATTATTTGCCTAATAAAATTGTTTCCTTTCCCTTGACCCTACAAGTGTCTGTTGGTGCTTGCCATGTCAGCACTGTAAATAAGAATTTGTCCATCCATTTATTATCTTTACCCACTTCTTCCTTTTTTTGGTTGCGGGGGTCTTTGGTGCCCATGACCATCATTGTGTGAGAAGCGGGGTACACCCTGGACAGGTCTCCAGTCCATCACAGAGACACATTGAGACAAACAACCATTCACTCTCTCACTCACACCTAGGGACAATTTAGTTACCAATCAGCCTGACATGCATGTTTTAGGTCTGTGAGAGGAAACCAAAGTACCACAGGACCACATATAGACAAAAAAGAGGAACAATTATTCTCCTTTTCACTCATATCTGAGGTCTGTACAGTTTAGAGATACCAATTAACCTACATGCATGTTTGTGGTCAGTGGGAAGAAAGAGTCAAAAGACAACATAGATATATTATACAATATTGATATATGCTTATCTACAGATAAGATGTCCTTTTTTCAAAACTGATGGTTTTATGCAGCAAACTGGCCAGGGTTCAGAAACTTTTTTTTTTTTTGGTGGTTAATATATAAATTATTCTGAATTCTGAGAACCATTGCTTTATTCTTGGTTCAGAGGAGGAGACCGTTGAGATCCTTGCGCTAGACTGCAACGTACAGCCTGAAAAGAAGAGGGAACGCATCGTTTGCGTAAAGTTTGACTTACAAACGATATAAAGCTAAATTATAAATGTGTTGATTTATATTAGTAAAGTAAATGTGCAGACCAAAGACATACACATTATATTGTATGACTGAAAGATGAAATTGCATGTTAAGAATGACTCCAGGAACATGACACAGCACCTAAAGCATCTGAAATCCCAGCAAACTACCTAAATATAAATACTTATATTTTATTTAAATCAAAAAATATTTGCCTCCATACACAGCTGGTGTTAGATGTTAATTAAACATTGTTAGACAGAGATCAAATATTCCCAGAGTGAGTGAAATCAGAATAGAAATCAGAATTATGTTCATAATACTCTTTACAGATTCTCCACATGCTTTGACTTCTTGTTTTCCCATCAAGGCAGAGAGACGCTTTGTTGATTCATTTGTTGTGATCTTGCAAAATGAGAAAAGTTTGTTTCAGGAAGTTTGACATCGAGGCAAAGAAAGAACCCAATATAATTTGAAAAAAGCTTCAAATGATTTTCTTTAAGGTTGTGAGCTAGAGCAAGAATTTAGAGCTATACTGTAGAGTCTGCAGTGTACTGTAGAGTGTAGAGTATCAAAGTTCATGCTCAATAATCCAGGTAAAAATATCCAACAAACTTAAGTCAGGTCCTCTGGATGGTTTCTTTATGTTGAAACATTTCATCTTTCATCCAAAAGACTTCATCAGTCTCAGGAGTCACAACAAACTCAGTCCCATAAGTAGCACACTCACATCGTGGGCCAACCAGTTTGATGGTGGTAAGATGGTTTGTAGAATCCACTTTATCCTCCGTCGACTAGTCTGAGGCAGCCATGGCCAAAGTGGTTCAAAACATCAAAGCTCTGCTCCATAAGTTCCATCTTATCACCATCAAACTGGTTGGCCCATTATGTGAATGTGCAACATATGGGACAGAGTTTGTTGTGGCTCCTCGAACTGATGAAGACGAAACATTTCAACAAAAAAGAAACCGTCCAGAGGACCTGACTTAACTTTGTTACACTGTAGAGTATTTTGTTGTAGTGAGTGCTGTAAATGTATTAAAATGTTCTCCCTGATGGAGAAATCGGTTTGCAACCCTTAGATTCAAATAGCAAGCATTCAAAAAATAAATCAATATTTCACTGTTGTTAAAAACAGATAGAAGAAACACTATCGGTGTAAGTTGGCCTTTGCAAATGCTTTTATCAACATGGTTAAATGATCCTCCGTCTCTGGTTCGAAGATAGTTCAGCTTATGTAAAGATATATTCTCTAGACATATTATGTACAAAATAAAAGGTAAATCTTTTTTAACAGATAACCTTTGAAGGCACATCTACAGAAAAATGGTCCAAATGTTTTGCAGTGTTTTTTTCTTCCATGAATGTTGAGAAGTCTGTATGATTAAAGGCTCAACAGTAGCTCATTATCCAGCTGTTCTTTCCCACAAAAACACACGCAGACCTTCATTTTCTCTGGATTCCTACAGTTGGTCTTGAGGTTACAAGCAAAGGGAAGTCATGTGGCAAACATCTGAGTGATGGAGATGAAAATCTTTCTTGTTTTATGCCAGAGAGTAGATCGTATTCATTGGCGAGTGGAGCTCCAGACTTCCACCAAAGTCCAGCTCCCTGACATCCCTCCTGGTTCCCGTGTACTGTCCGATGAAGGAGCCGTCCTCGTTGAATGGGATTTCCCCCCCTTCTCCATACTCCACCAGACTGTCATCACTGTCGGAGCGCTTTATTATTGCTTCCACAGATGACTGAGCTCTTTGAAGGCCCTTTTCCTCCTCTCTACCAAAGCACACACATAATGATTTGTTGTGGCCAATTAAATAAAAACACATACAGCTTTTTCCTACAGGACACAGTAAGACGTACGTACCTCCGAGGATAGGGCAGAGTGGGGATACGTGCAATCCTAAAATAGCAACACATTCAACATCATTGTCAGAGAATATTAACACATTTCATCAAGTAATATTGGTATCAGTAACTTATTGCATCTCTTCAAAAATGTACACTTCAAATGTCAATAATGTCAGTGTGTGAGCATTTAGTCTTTTCATACCTTTCAAGGGACCTTGAGTGGTTCAGTGAAAAAACAACCGGGTTGGGTTTTTGAAAAAGAAAGGTTTAAGAAAGAGTAGAGTAAAAAAGAAAAACAACAAAAAACAAAACAACAACAAAAAATTAGTTTTGGTTTGTTAAATTTTTACTCAAAATTAGATCAGACGTCTTGTTTGATTTGTACTTTTATCACATTGGAATTTGTTCACACTTAAAGATGCTCTGTGAAATTTCTAAACATTACAAACCTGTGGCACAAAATGTTTTTCAGTTGATTCTGATTTTTTGTGCATTTTGACCTCATCTTGGCATGTAGCACGATACACGCTACTTTTATTACAATCATATGCATCCAAAGGTAAAGACGTGTCTTCCAGGTAATTATTGTCTGTATGGAAGCCATAATTTGTTAACTCTGTAAATATTTTCCATTAGTTTTAGATGTCCTTATACATAATCAAGATGAATATTTTCTGAAGTAATGTTTATAATGAAACGTGTAAAAGTAGTAAGAGTAAGAGTTATGTTGGGTCTTCTTTATGATTTACAAATTGATAGGTTATGCCATGGGTGTCCATTTTTTTAATTTTTTTATTTGTCAGATACTGTTTAATGTTGAATTTCACAAAAATAAAATGGTCAGATCCAATGTACCAACCCCAAGGTTTAAAAAAAAAAAAAATAGTGTTAACTTGTTTTTTATTTATATGCATTTTTCTATTCAGTGCCCTGAGATGACTTCTGTTGTGACTTGGCACTATATAAATGCCAACTCATATCAAACCTGAACTTATGTCTAAAAATCTGTTGTTATTGTTTTATAAATAAGCAATATGCCTTTATTGCCTCACAAAGCTGCTTTACTTGATCAAATTGATTGAAGTGAATGCACAAGTACACAGCAACACGATATAATAATAACTACTGTTGTCATATAGAATTAAGATAGTGTTACAGTAAACTGGAACAATTATAATAACGGATGTGTTATTTAAACTATATGTAACCTTGGAAAATAAGCAGAATTATTTTTGGTAGATAAGATGTAGCACACACTGATTAAAGGTTTATTTTTATATGATACATTTATTTTAAAAAGTAGTAACTTTTATGACTGTTTGTCATTTTTGTTATTTTTTTGTCAGTTCTTACCGATAATCAAATGATCCCTCTTGATCTTTGTCATCTACTGGCTCCAATGAAATGTCCTTTTTCTCCCGAACTGAAATTAAATGAAGCCACATTGTTAAATCAAAGCAAAATGTTTTTACAGTTCGAGTGCAACAAAACTTACAACAAACTTAAAAATAAAATAAATTGTAATCTCAATCATCCAAGTAGATAACAACAAAAATGGTTAAATCATGTCAACTGGACCAGTTTCTTTAAGTGAGAAATGTTTCTGAACCACTTTGGCCTTGGTTGTCATTGGGCTGTTTCTGTGAGTAGCAAGTTGGCAACCTGGCCTAGTCCAGCTACAGACATGAGGTGGAACACCTGGAGAGCTGGTGCAAAGAGAATAACCTTCACATAGACGTGAAGAAGACAAAGCAGATGATCGTGGACATAAGAAGGAACAAACACACCTACACCCCCTGAACACAAGAGGATCTGCGGTGGAAGTGGTCTCCAGCTATAAGTACGTGGGTGTGCACATGAATGACAACCTCAGCTGGAGCAACAACACCACCAGCCTGATCAAGAAAGCTCATCAGAGACTCTACTTCCTCAGGCGGCTGAGACGAGCTGGTCTGGGAAGCTCAGTCCTCACCTCCTTCTACAGGTGTGCAGTGGAGAGCATCCTGTGCTCCACCATCAACGTGTGGCGTGGAGGCTGCACAGCTGCAGAAAGAAAAGCTTTGCAGAGAGTGGTGAAGGCTGCACAGAAGTCTGTTGGAGTCAGTCTCCTCACCATCACAGACATCTACACCTCTAGATGCAGGAAGAGGGCCACCTGCATCATGAAGGACTCCACTCACCCAGCACCCACACTTTTTGCCCCACTCCCCTCAGGCAGGAGGTTGAGGAGCATTAACCCCCAGACTGAGGAATAGCTTCTACCCTGAGGCTATTAGACTCTTGAATCTCTAACTAGAATAATCAATGTGAAAAAAATCACACCGTGTTGCTGCTGATCTGTTTCATGTTGATGTGTTCATGCGTGCTCATCTGCTCACACAGACTCATGTTCGTGCTGCTGTTCGGCATAATGTTTTTATGCTATTAGTGCTTAGTGTATTTTTAGTTAATGTTTTTCTTAGTTCATATCTTAGATGTTATCATTGGTTTTCTTTTACATTTTATTGTTGGATGTAACTGGGACCCTTTGTACATAATTTCGTACCACCACATGTACCACATGGGGTGGAACGCCACTAAAGAATCTCTGGCTCTGACATGTGATTGCTGTTAATGATGATTGATTGTTTTGGATGGGTGTGCTCTGCTCACGTGTTAAAAGCCTACTTCTGAGATTCCAACAGGAGATTCGCTTTTTGTTGTTACAACAAACTACTAATATTCTTTATATATTATATAATTGAACTTGTTTTATTGCAAACCATTGACAAATCTGAACTTTTATCTGACTTATTGATAAAATGAATATTGATTTAATTGTTCTGGCACGAAAAGTACTGAAAAAACACACAATTAAATGTAAATCAATATGTTTGCTTCACTGTGTTTTTCATCCAGTAGTGTAAGTTTTGAAATCTTCAGCTTGCATAAGTTGTCAGAGTTGTAGCCAGCTCTGATCAGAAATGAGACCCTGTACCTGGATATTTGCCCCCTCTGCTCCTCTTGATGAAACAGACTGTAAGAAGGATGAGCACAATAAGTGCCACAGCGCACATTATCCCAATGAACCACCCCTGAGTGGTAATGTCCACCTGGTCCTGAGCGTATACTGAAACACAAGCATACATGATCAAAATCAACAGCATCTTGACACCGTAAAGTGGTGGACCTCCACTTGTGTTGATGTGCTGAAGAAGAAGCATATTACTTTCTGTGGTGTAATGAGGGGACTCCTCCGTATGCCATTCTCCTATTCCGATCCGAGTTCGTGCGGCCACAGAGAACCTATAACGAGTGTAGCGGTCAAATCGCCGGACTGAGAAACTCGTCACATTAGGCGGGAACTCCTCCACCCTGAGCTCTTCTCCCCGGCTTGCATTCACTGAGGACATTTCAGTGCACAAGGAGAACTCGACGTTAGTCCTATAAGAGTAAACTATTTTACTTTCACATAGAGCAGCTACAAAAGTGCTTATTACCCTCTTGAAATGCGACTTTAGTCACTTTAGGCTACTGATCCTTTAATGCACATATCAGAACGCTATTGCCTCAGTACTTGGATGGTGCCCACTGCCATTTTTAATGCAGTTGCTGTAAATGATTAGGTCCCTGTTTCTCTGAGTGTATATGAGATGGTATGGGACAGTGTATCGGCATACCAGTCTGGTGCTTTAGGATATATCCTGTGATGATACCGTTGGGCTCTTCTGGCACGTCCCAGTCCACATAAATACTGTCCAGATGTCGTTGTTGGATCCTAAATGATTTGGGAGCAGATGGTACTGTAGAAACAAGATCAGTGAAATATGCAATAAATAAGTTCAAGTTTCATGGACAAAATTTTAAGAAATGACTTACTCATGCATTATAAAGATTTTTTTAAATGTGTTTCATCTCCAATTTAATTAATTAATTAATTACATTTTTACTGTCCTCACCTCCTTCTGGTGTAGAGAAGTGGATGTGATTACTTGGCGGACCTTCATACCGGCTGTTTGCCACCACTATGTACATCTTATAGTTACTATATGGCATGATCCCAGTAACAACACCTGAGGGTTCTGGGTCATTGTCTGGAAACACCTTAGACTTCACACCTCTATTAACCCACAGCCACCTCAGCTGGCTGCTGTCCCTCCAGTAGTATACCTGAGAAATGAGAGGCAGCAGCACATTCAAATCCATCAGTAAGACTTTGAGTGGCTGAAATATGTTTTAAGCATTTTAGTCCAGAACCAAATATCAAGTCAAAACTTGATTAAAATTTTATTAAATAAATTAATAATTATTACGTGAAAATAATTGCATAGTTTCTTGCCGTAAAAGTTAATGTTCAGTGCAGCAATAATTAGACAGTGCTTTCTGTTTGCTGGAATACAGATTTCTTGTGAACTTTCTCCCCTCTGTCTAAATGTCTTAGAATGAAACCATGTCCTATGATTCATCGTTATCTCCAGCTGACCACCCTGGTGTGGAGTCCTGAGATTTTATTGTCTACTACCATGCATTATGACTTGTTGTATTTTAACTAGACACACCTTGTATTCTTTCAGTTCTCCCATGATCGATTCACGTCCCACTGAGTCCCAGTGTATTGTAACCTGAGTGCTCTCTATGATGGACACTCTCAGGTTCAAGGGGGCAGAAATTGGACCTTTGGAAAAACAGAAATGGCATTTTGTCTTTAAAAACAAAACAAGAGATATTGAAAAAAACAAACAAACTGTAAGACACTGAAACAGAGGTTGTGCCCACAACAGTAGAAGGGGTTACTTTTCAGAGGTCAGGCATGATTTCCTGTAGTATACAATTCACCAAAATAACACAATGAAGAAAAAGTCCAAAATTTGGGTGTGAAATCCCCAAATGTGTTCAGATAAAAATGACAGGACACCTGCACTGGGTCCAAGAGACTTGCTGTTGCACATTATACAACTGTGAGAGTATGGAAAGGTTTATTCTAGGATATCTTACACGACCCTCTACTGTGCAAAAACCCATGGGGGGGGGGGGGGGAGAGAAGTATTGTTCTAAGAGACAAAGTTTCATCCCTTCACTGAATCTTTATTAAGGTACACCTAAAATATTTTGTTACACTTTTTTTGGTGCTTCCTCTCAGTTTTCTAACTTCTGTTGAAATGTAACAGTGAATTCACAGACTTACGGTCTTCACCAGAATAGCCAACGACCACAGGCGACTCTGGTCCCAGCCCAAAGTCATTGACAGCCTGGACTTTGATCTCATAAGGAGTGAAGGTATCGGCATCATAGATATAATATTTCAGCCACTTTGTGGTTGCATTTTTCCACTCTTCTCTGGAGTCTCTCCTTCTCCACCACACCAGATATTTTAGGTGTGGTCCGTTCCACTCTCTATAGGTCAAAGGCTGCAAACAAAACAATCAATTGAGTCATGTTGTAATTTTTGTGTTGAAAAGTTTTGAATTTGGAATACTGAAGGTGAATACTGCAACTTTATGGTGTTATGTATTACTTAATTACCTCCCAGCTGATTTCCATGTTGTTTCTCCATGTACCCACACCTTTCACATTCTTTGGTATGACATCTGGGGCTGTGTAAAAAAACAAAACAAAAAAATCCAGTTCACTGTTAAAAAAAAAAAAAAGGTCTTGATTCTGGAAAACACTGTATTTATCTGAACAAAAATCATTTTAAACACCATTTGTTAAATATGATTTTATCTAATCTTAAACAATATTATTAATCTGGCTTTTATCAAAGGTAGATAAAAAATTGCTTATTAACTAATAACCTAATGCTATGCTTCAACATCAGATAAATTCAAAGCCCAAGGCAACAGTGTGTATTCTATATTACACTCTAGGTTTCCTAAATTACATATTTTAGGCTCCCTTCACACTGGTTAATGATCCTGTTATATCATAATAAAAGCAGACAGCAGTAGACACCCCAGTGGTCTATGTAGAAGCTTGGCAAGGTCTTCAAGTCCATTTTATATGATAAAGAATAATAATCTATACACCAATGTCCCACAAATAATGAATGTTTGCAGTTTTTGAGATGAGTGTTTTTCTGGACTGGAATCGAACAGGGATTACAAATAAAAATTAAAGTTTTTGGTGCAAGATATTCCAGTGGGTAGTTACACTATGTAGAAAACCAGCAGTAGAATATTTTTGTTTCTTGTACGAGGCAGCGCATAGTGTTCTTTATCATATA